CCCCCCCCCCCCGGTGTTTTCTTTTTTAATAACTATAAATTCAAGCTTAGGGAAGCTTGCCTTTGTCTTGAAAAACAAACAAAACAACAAAGCTTTTATATCATTTGCTAACCTGATCTCATTTTAAGAGAGAGATGGTGGTCATCTTGCAAGAGTAAAATTTATACCATGAATGATTCAGGCCTAAGTCTGGTGGTACTAAAAGGAGACAATAGCAGTATTGACAAAATTATTATCTGCTGGTGGCATTTGCGGAAAAGAAGCCCTTGCAAATTTCTAAACAACAGTAAACTCTGTTAGGAAATTCTAGAGTCTTACAGGCCCAAAGGGGATGAGGTTAGTAAACTGCCTCAACAGAGTTTGAATAAAATACTGGATTTGAGAGTTACTGGAGCTGGGATATGTAAAAATAGGGTTGTAGGTTGGGTCATGCTTACAATGGTCTCAAGTTCAAATAAACTATTGTGACAATACATCACTTCACAGGTCACACGCTTTCCCAGGGCCTTCTGTCCTTCAGTAGGTGCTGGCAGAAGGGGTGCTCAGTCGCTTTCCAATATAGATGCTGCAAGGAAACAGAGTGCACTGTGTTTCAGCTGAGCCAACAGTTCCACACCAGCTTGTCCACAGGATGAACCCGAGAAAAAACTCAATGTTTCGGTCCTTAGCAAAGGCTCAAAGTGTAAGCACCCAGTTCCCTAGCACCCTGAAATCATCACTGACTTACTGAAAACTAGTCACCAACCAGCCAAACTGGTTTACTATGACTACATTTTCACTCACGGGGCAGGACTGCACAGCACAGGGGCAATGACTACACACAGGAAAGCCCGAGAGAACAGGTCCCTGCCAGGAGTGAAGCAGGGCCAACCTCCTGTGGATATTCCCTCATGCAGATAAAAGTTCTACCTTCCTGTAGACTGACTGCTACTTCTGATACAAAATACAGTAATATGCCAAGTTATAAAGCTACCAGTGCTTTCAACAGGGCTCTTAACTAACAGTTTAGTCCTTAAGGATTAAGAGCCTAATATGACTTTTCCATGTGGAGCAAGTATTTTACCCTTAAGTAACATAAGCAGAAGGGAAGTTAAAGAAAAGACGGAATTAGCCCCACCCCCACAGTGTAATAAAATCAGCCAACTATTTAAAATCCTTTTTTCTACATTCATCTATAACAATGGTTACTTATACCAGCAAGAGAAATAGTCTGGGTTCATGAAAGGAAGAGATTTTGAAAGGTACAAAAATCAACCTCTTGAGGGCAACAAACTCCTGTGCAGTCAATCCTGTAGGGGAATTTAAACTCGTCTACCCCTGCCCCCACACCACCCCATTCAACATCCACACACTCCCTTCCTCCACAAACACCGTCCATTCTGATGTGATCACTGTCCTCAAAAGCAGAGCAAGCACTCAGAAAGACAAAGAGGTGTGTGGAAAGTCACTCGTGTGTTCCCATGTTCACGACTGTGAGCATCTCTCCGGTGTGCTGAGCCCCTTAAAGGGGAGCTCAGGCATCACGTATCGTTTGATTATCATAAAGAGAATGTGACCCACTGGACAAGCTTGAAGAGAAAAACAGGTATGTCTTGAAAAAAATTAACAGCTAGTGTTTAACTTCTAAAATATTTCAAAAATATATTTCCTCAATTATTCAAATCAAGGAAAAAAAAGAATTTAAAAGACATGCCTGGAGAATTAATGAATTACAGGTAAATGGGGGACTGCTTTCAGGAGAATAAATAAAAATGCTACAAAGAGAAAAAAACAACAGTGTCCTCAAACAACCTACCATTTTCCCTCAAGGACTATACAACAAAATGGTGTATTTTCCTAGCTGGGGGGAAAAAAAAAGTTCCCATCAACCTCCAAATTTACACACTAAAGATTAGTTTACATTAAGATTTAAATAATCTTGAGTAACTTATAAGCAACAACAACAAAACCCAAAAAGAAAAATCAATTACAGATGAGCCCACTTAAAAATGACCACTTCAGAAATTAATATGAAGAACTTATTTTTCAAATAAGAAAAATACTATTAAAAATGCTTATCAGTATACCAACAGTGCACCAACTTAATTCTTTTAAGCTCACACCCTATTTGCACTAACACTTTAAAAGCAAAACAATACAAACTGCTTTCACGTGCATTTCTTACATCTGGAAATAAACATGAGGATAAAACGAACGAAAAATAACCAAGCTGTATGAGTTGACCAGTACTTACCCCAGCCCCAAAGCCAAAACATGAGAAAGGAAGAGAGATGGAATGAACACCTTAAGAAATTCCGCAGAGAAAATACCCCCTTTCTTCATGGCTCCACTTTTCCTCATGCTTAAAGAAACAGAGCGTTTAGGGTGCCTGAAGTGGAACTCCCTGGGGGAAGAAATTCAGAGGCAGGTATCAGAAATGCATTTGCTGAAAATATCTTGGGAACTAGCAGGACCACTGCATACACATGCACTGTGTCCACGGAGAAAGTGTGTGAGAACTTACTTAGGGGGAATGTTCTCAGGCCTACTGGACCAGTCCGACACCCAGTCTGCACTTTTCTTCAAAGCATCAGCTTCTCTGTCTCCTTCTATAGCTTCTTCTTCTGACTGTAAAGAATTCAAACTTTAAAAAAGACAAAAAGGAAGACCTGTTCTTCCAACTACAAAAGACAAATCTAGACAGAAAATACACGAACTTCACAAGGCCGTACATCAGTCATTTTTATGTAAGAAACATGCTGTTTTTCTAAAAAGGCTGACAAAATAATCTAAGATCAGAGTATTTCTATTTTAACATCTTAAAAATAACTTGAGTGTCACTGTTTTCTTATCTAAGCACAGAACAAGAACCTGAAACATCAATTAAACCTCAATTAAAAAAAGTGAAGCTAAAAAAAGCATATTTGAGGATATGCTAACTAACGCGTGGAAAATGTTAATAACTGTTGAATCTGGGTGATGCTATGTGAAGGTCCACTGTAATATCCTCTTTACTTTTGTACGTGTTTAAAACTTTTCATAATTAAAAATAGAAGGGAACATATCGAAAAGTTTATGCTAATAAATACAAAGTGATGAGAAAATAGATAACTGGGAGGCCTGATGAGGAAACAAGTCTTTATTAAGCATGAATCCAGAGACAAGCATGATTCTAAACACTAGCCATTAACTTTTACCTTGCAACAACCTATAAAAATAGAAACTATTAATATTCCCCTTTTACAGAAGAGGAAACTGAGCTATAAATTCAGTAACTGCCCGAGTAGCAGGGTCAGAGTCCAAACCCAGGCAGAATGTCTCTAGAGCACTCCCTCTTCAGAACTAGGTTTTACTCCCTGGAAGATTATATTTTTCTAGACAAATCGCTATCCAAACATTTCCCAAGGTTTATTGAATACTAAAGCCAAAATTTTTTTGGAATAAGTTATTTTATACTGAGTCAGAATTTGACATCTTTCATATCAAATAAATGAAAAAGAAATGTTTTCTCTTTAATAATAACCTAAAGTTTTCAGGCCAAGAGCAATCAAAATTTCCAAAAGCTTCTTTCAATGGAACTCACAGGAATGAGACATTCCTAAAAATGACACACCATTATTTATTCAACTTTAGGGAATGTGATGCTATGACCTCAAACCAAAGGATCTCAAAGCTAAGAATTGTTTTTGATTTGTTATTTTGTTTAAATAGGATCGTCTTCGGCCAAAGCTTTTCATTCTTTTCAGTCGGTAGTTATAAAATGCAGAGCTTGACAGATCCCTGTGATTCTTTTTCTCTCTGGAATAGCTGCCTGGGGAAGGCAGCATAGACATTCTCTAGATACAGGTAGTCCCTTTTACTATGAAATCAAAGTAAAATCCCTGTGGATCTCTGCTACTCTGTGGTAATCATTCTAATTTAGTTCAGCTGGACTTGGCAAATTCCACAGGATGACACAATGTAGCCTTAGAATTAAGCTTTTTCCACTGGGTATTGAGATTACTCAGAATCATGGGTTGGATCTTCAGAGTAAATCTAAAAAATCCTAAATCAAAAACCATCAATTGTTACAATTTATTTATAGATCAATTTGTGTACACACAGTATCTGACTACATTCAACACGCATTAAGTCTTTTCCATTACCAAAGTTTCCAACTTTGGTCTCATTAAAACTATCCAAAGGTTTTAGGGTTAAATTTGTGAACAAGTTAGTATTTCGTGTTTTCCAAGAGAATGGAAATATAATAAGGTTTTGTGCTCTATTTTTTAGAAAGATGTAATTTTTCCTTAGATGAGGTTAAAATCAGGATCATATGCTCTTCAGCTCTCCTCATTTACTACCAGCCCTGTGCTTCCTTCTATTCATCTTAAATTTGCCCGTTTCAGGTTTTAAATTGCCTTCCAACTCTGAGAATTCCAGAATATGGTAAAAATGCACTTAATCTAATTAACTAAGAGTCATGCTTTCAACCGAATCAATAATCCTCTTTCTACACCCACACCTATTCAGACAGATTATGATCCTTTCAGCCTGTCCTCAGGTGCAAGGCCCTTACCTTCTATTTACTTAAACTGTCCTTCTGTGGCCCACCTCAAGTTCTTCAGGTCTCTAAACATGGAAAACAAACTGCACACTATGGGGTCCATGTTCAAATAAACCACAGTTTACAAAGAGGGAGAAAGGAGGACAATTTCAGTTTCTATCATCTTCCAAAGATACCCAACACTGTGCTGGTCTCTTTGGTCTCAGAAACACAGGCAAAAATGCCTTCAAGAGACAATCTAAGGTCTATTTCCTGCTACAACACTGAGGACTATCACCCTAAACGTATAGTTTGAATGACCTTTTCCTTAATGCATTACACCTTGGGCTTCCTCATACCATAACTCACCAGACATGCCTTAGTTCATTCCCAGACCTGTGAGCTCTCCTGAACTCAGTCCCCTTCACTGATTCACTTTACGGGGTCGCAGGCTCAGACAGCCCTGGTTTCAGTCCTGGCTCTATCACTTACTTGCTTTGTAATCTTGGATAAGTAACTTAAAGTTAAGACAAAGCCTAACCTTTCCCATTTGTTCATGGGCATAATATCACCTCTTTCACTGCACTGAGAACATTAAATGTGGGAAAAACTTAAAAAAATAAATTTAGCACCAATAAATATTAATACCTTTCCTTTCTCCTCCTAGAAAAGGCTGAAAATGCCATGTTCCTCATACAGACATATATAAAAATATTCAGTTTACTGCACATGGCCAACTGACACGTGTAACAGTCGTTGGTTGACTGTTTTTAACTGATTCCTAACCCCAAACCATTCGTGGGAAAAAACCCATCCTCCCAAACCTGAAGCGATTAATTTTAAATGATCACTTCTTCAATTTAACAAAAGCAATTTAAAAGGCTTTCTGAAAGTTTAAATAAATTGTACCACTGATATTTCCCTCACTAAAAGTCTTATTCTAAAAGATATAACACTTTTAATATATAAGTTAAGACTGCTTTTCCAAACACGTAACCCTGTTTAAAATGGACTGATCTGATTGCTAATTTGCTTACCAAAGCTGGATGACATCCAAAGTTCTTTTAGGTACTTGTTTCTGAACAGGGATCACACTAGCAATGCCATGATAACCTGACACAGAGGCCAAAAGTCTTACCTCTTCAATTCTAGAAGTCCACTTAAATCCAATTATCAGTTAAGCCTAATTGTACATCTGCAATTTCATGAGCCAGGCAAGAGAGCACTTATCAAGTGTTCCATTAGGTTGTTAAGAAAATCATTAGAAAAAAAAGTGTATGTGGAGGGTGAGGGAGATCTAAGGTCAAAGAAATAAGTGGGAAATACATATTTCTTTACTGCAGGAGCTGTCAGAACCTTTAATATGTTACCTGCTGTGACTAACGGCAGGGGAAGTGAGGAAACCCAGGTGCTGCATCAATTTCCACTTATTTGACATCAGAACTATCTTGTGGAGCTTTCTATTGAGCAAACGTTCCTCAAAACACATTTGGAAAACGCTAATCTAGATTTTCAATGTGTCTGTACAAAAGACAATATAGATTGAGGACATTTTCCTCAGGACAGACTACAGCAAAGGATTAACTTCATTTCTCTATCTTGGGATTTCTTAGTACACTTCTGCCATGGAAACCTCACAAGCTTTCCTCTTCACTGTTAGTTTATATGGCCAACTGACACACAAAAGCCAGTGATTCAACAAGTCCAGTCAGACATCTTCCTACATGAGAGCCTTGCTTGAACCAGCTTCTTGACAGAACAAAGTTCATCATAAAATACATTTGTATTCAATCCCAGAGATTTCCTGGGTTTCAGAGAACAGCACAAATAGAGCACAAAGTAGGAAGAAACAGTGCAGCCTTCTGAAACTGAAAGGATACTGGGTGGGTCCCAGACAACACACAAAACACTTCTAGTACAAAGGATTCAAGACACTGTACAGCTCCAAACTATCTTTTAAAGTATTCTTATTCTTTAATACATTTTAGCCCAACATACTTACTTAGAGGCTTGCATTTTCCCTATTACTTATTGTAAGTCATAAAAATAAATTACCACACACACACACACCTGAGAGCTATGGTCCCTGCTGGTGTGCATTTCCACATCAAACATAATTTGCCCATCTTCTTGTGGGGAGGGGCTAGAAGAAAAAGAATTTAGCCATTAGTTTTAATTCTCATTTTGTCAAATAAATTAGCCTCTGTTGGAAATTAGAAAATTAAAAGTTACAGTAGTATGGCTTTGAAAAGCAGCAAATCAGAAGTATACAATAACCCCATAAAAGAAATTGAGCACTTTTTCTTCCAAAATGTTCTGGAATTTTTCAGTGGTGATAAATTTCTTCCCAATGATAACTTTGCAAAGGAAATGTTACCTACAGACACAAGACTGTCACATTTTATCTTTACTTTTTTTCCAATAAAGGTAAAATGATCCTAAAATTCAGAGACCTCATTTGGATTCTTTGTCTCAAAGTTCCTTCAACCTTAAATAATTCATCACCAGCAGCTCTCAAAGTGTGAAAGCAGTTTTCAAAGACTCATTCAAAGGGTCTTCGAGGTTAAAACTGTTTTCATAATACTATTAGATTCATTTGCCATTTTCATTCTCATTCTCTCACGAATGGATTGTGAAATTTTCCAAAGGCTACATGTGTGATATTACAACAGATCAAATGCAAAAGCAGATGAGAATCCAACTGTTTTCTATTGAGCCACATATTAAAGAGATGTGCAAAAACATAAAACAGAGCCACTAGTCTTAATTTTTTTGATTATGGAAAAGTTATTTTCTATTTTAAAAACTTAATTATGTTAAAATATAATGGTTTATTATTATTGAATGTATATTTTTTAATTTTCTCAGTTTTAATTTCAAAATATATAACCCACATAAACAACAGCTCTTTGGGGTCCCTAATAGTATTTAGGGGTATAAAGAAGCACAGAAACCAAAAAGTTTAAGAACCACTGTTCTACTTATTTCAGAAATATTTGCTTTGAGATATTTCAGTGAATTAGACAAGCATATATATACATACACATATATAAATCAATGTACAAACTTTAATGAAAAATACAAAATGTAGTCCCAGAACTATAAAAATTTACAGATAAATTTTTAGACAAAAACACATGATCGTGAACTGTACTTGATACAATGGATGAATACATTGTGCTAAGTTCTACTCTTAGCTTTATCAATGATTCCTTGTGTAATTCCACAGCAAGTCTCTAGGACTTTCACTATAACACCTTACCCCCTCACCTCAAACCTAAGTTCAAGTAGAGATGAAAGAAGCTCCAGGTTTATCTTGCTCAATAGGAATAGATATTAACTATTAAAGTTATCATGAGCATAAGTACAATGTTAACATATAGAGATGTTGGTGAGACTGACTCAAAAAAAGTAAGATGACCAGAAATGTATCAGATTGATTAAGCCGAGGGTGACAGGAGATTTTTTTTAAAAATTTTAAAATATATCTTTATTGATTTCAGAGAGAGAAAAGGAGAGGGAGAGAGAGAGATAGAAACATCAGTGATGAGTCACTGATTGGCTGCCTAGCCCGTGCAACAGGGGCATGCGCCCTGACCGGGAATAGAACCCTGATCGCCTGGATCCTAGGTTGATGCTCAACCACTGAGCCACGCCCGGCTGGGCGACAGGAGATTCTTAAATAAAGATAAGAAACATGGTTCTGTATCAAACATATTAATATATTTAGAAAATTTCTGTCTTGAACTGGAAACCTTAGGCAACAGCACAGGACCCAAGCAGAGCAAGGCACTCTTGCTGTCCTCAATTTACTGTCAAGCTCATAACTTTGCTGAGTTCACAGCAAAAGGCCAGCTTTACACGGCCATTACCAGGTCCTGGCAGCAGCATGACAAAGTCAAGACTTGGAGAGGAACAGTGCTCTACCTCCACACTCTTCTTTACCGCTGGCACCCATCTCACTCAGAAAAGCACCGAACATTTCACTGGTGAATTCCTAACAATTTGGAATGCATCAGAGCCTCAACCCTGGCTCATGTTAGCATCGGCTGGAGAGATTTTTAAATATTCTCATTTTTCTACCCCTCCCCTGAAAACAGGATGAGAACTTCCAGGGATAGGGTCTGTGCACTGGTATTTTTAAAAGCTTCCTGGGTGAATCTAGCATGTAGGTTGAAAAGGCCTACAACAGGGTGGAATCCAAAGCAAAACACATAGGGGTTATCTTCTAACTACCACCACAGTGACAAAAATATAGCTATGGAATCATTTTTAAACTGAAAGTATACATAAATTAGCTTTGGTACCAATATCCAACAATCCAAAAACTTTTCCACCTACAAGAAACACTTTTCAACAACTTCAAACAGAGAGATGCATGATAATTCAAATTACGTGAATTCTGAAGACACTTTTAAATGTTAAAGTGTGTTAGACATCCCAAGAGTATTACTGAGCTAGAGTCTAGGCTTCATCTGAAAGATGGCCAGTAACCCAGAGCCTACAGATACATAACCTGAGGGATAGGAAAGTGTTCAAAAGCATTTGCTATATTTAGCTTCACGTGTTTAGAAACCCAACTGATTGAAATACAATCATGGAAGGTGAATTCATATTCAATCACAAGTATAACTGCAACCATAAATGAAATAAGATGACCAGAAAGGCAAGCAGGTGACTTTTTCTCTACTCAATGACAGCTCCAAGTGAACAATAAGTGAAGGAACACACTGATGCCAATGATCGAGGGTCACATACTTGAATGTATACTAAAAGCCTATCAACAGAGCCATAATAAGCAATAAACTTCAGAAACCTATCAGGGTCCCATGATGTGAATGTAATGCATTTATACTTTATTTTTTGTGCTATGTTTTATTGTACTTTGCTTTATTGCACTTTACAGATGTTGTTATTTTATACAAATTGAAGACCCTCTACCAACAAAAAGATTACGACTCGCTTTATTGAGATACTAGCTTTATTGCGATGATCTGGAACCAAACCCGCAGTATCTCCGAGGTATGCCTGTATAATATAAACTTCACTCTGAAAGACAAACCAATGCTGTTGCAACTGGAATTAAAGGCAAGCTGCTCAGGAAAGAGCTATCTGCTCTGCTTCTGCTTATGACTAGAGCCATCCCAGGCTCTTAAAAAGCACAGGGATAAGTCAGAGGTGAGATAGGGTGATTGGGTGCACTGTGCCACAGAGACAGCAAACCAGTCCCCTGCTGCCCTGGTAACATCAGTGGATCATAAGACATGCAGGAAATTCAAACATGATTTACACTGTTCCTCCTTTTATACTTTTTCTGATAAGTAACAATACGTGCTATACACACAATTTTTACAAAGTACAAAAATATTCAGAAGAAAACTCTGTGATTCCATCCCCTAGAGATAATTGCTGTTTACAGCTTTAAATGTTTCCTTTTCCCTGGGCATCTGCATTTTCTACATGGCTGATACCAGTTAACTCTAATTAACCAGAAGACCAGCCAATATCCCACAGTGCTGTAAGTACAGCTGTCACTGGTCTAAGAATTGTTAAATGAAACCAGTATGTCATTTAATATCTAGTCCCTCTGGAAAAACAGAAGCTTATACTGAAAAGTAAACTAACAGCTTAGTCTCAGCCTACTCAGACATACCTCTATATTCTTACTGTTTCACCATTAACAGTCCTTAATCGGTGGAATTAGTTTCTCTAACTTACATAGAGAAAAATGAGATCTAAAGTAAAACTTCCTCAGATAGAACAGAACGGCCTTCAAAAGTAACAGTCTTTACAGACCTCGGTGAGTGCTTCCACCAGGCAATACTGCTCTAACTTGAATCAACTTGCAGTTCCACTGACGCAAACATTTACTGAGTGTCTACTACACACCAGCACCATTACTGTGAGAGTACAAAGGAAATGAAACATGACCCCAGCCTTTTGGAGCCTCACAATCTAGAAGGGAGAGGGCAGATATACACAGAGATAACTATACTCAAGGCAGAATGTGATCTGTGAAACAGGGACACAAAGACAAAAGAAAATGGGAGAAAGATTAATTCTGTTAAGTAAATATTTGTACTACTGACTTTTTTTTAAAGATTTTTTTTTAATTGATTTTGGGAGAGGGGGAGGGAGAGAAACATTGATGCCAGAGTGAAACATCGATCTGTTGGCTGGCTCCTGCACGCCCCCACTGGGGATCAAGCCCGAAACCCAGGCATGTGCCCTGTCCGGGAATTGAACTGGCAACCCCCCGGTACACAGGATGATGTTCAACCTACTGAGCCACACCGGCAAGGGTTATGCCACTGACTTTTTAACAGATAAACATCTAAAAATGATAGTCTGACAAGGAAATTGATTTAATCTGGGGGGAAACAGTGGGCACTCAAATACTTGTCAATTAGCTGTCTGATTTAAATACACATGCTATAATAAACTGGGTGTCATATTTTGTGATATAAAGATGTAAGACATTTATTTTTCCTAATGGGGATTAACCTTGTAACCCATCTGTTTCCTGAATTCTACCAAAGCGTGGACCTCACTTACCTGTCACAGTGAGAACTGCCTCTTGAGCTACTCTGTCCTGATTCATGCTGTGCATCCAGAAGAATCTTCTCCATGTCTCCATTGTGGATGGAGGAGGAGGACGGGACGTGCTCCAGCCCCCCGTTTTTCCCGTGGCCATCATCATTGCCATTGCTGCTGTTCATGGGTAGCTCCACCCAGGAACCTGTTGGACAAGTCAGATAACTCAAGTTAAGCCCAGCAGAGCTGAAATCTGTCACGTGCACACAGATGTGAATATGCTGAATTCAGATAAGAAGTCTTATTCGCCTCAAACCAAATGCAAAACCTATTCTGAGAAAGATAAACAAGGAGCAATAAAAGTTCAGAAATCTATATAGTTCTGTTCCTGAAGTAGCTCACACAATCAACCAAGTTAGAAAAAGCTGAAACTCTAAAAACTAGTATCCTAGAAAATGTGTCTTTCAGCCAATTTTCTCCCTGGTTAAAGCTCAGTTTATAAACAATATACACTGTACTGAAACTTTTAGCTTGCTTTTAAAAAAATAGCTACTTTACATTGAGACAGGCTATTTACTTCAATATTTTAGTTAATGTATATATTGCCCACAGTCTACCTCAGCTATTTAGTTATATCCTCTCCACAATGAAATAAATGGATGACTTAAGTTCATTAAGGTCATCTGAACAAGTTAACAACTATGTCCTAATTAGCACAAACAACTGAGGAGCTCCTAGAGAAGGAATTTAAATCCAATCATAAAAACCTCAATTTATGTACAAATCTGGAACATAAAATTAATGCAGCTGGCTCTCAACTAAATCAGATGATCGTGCTAAAAAATCTGAAAAAAGCTGTACCTCTATCCCACAAATTAGTTGTTCTTTTCCTTTACACCTCACTCTTTCTATTCTTTCTCCTTTCTCTATGCACTACACATACCTTGTAAGAACTTGTCTTTTCTCTCTTCTTTCCCACGAGCTCCTACTTTCTAGGTTTTTCATTAAGCCTCATTGGTTTGGGGGGAGAAACAACTGTGCATCTGCTACCGGTGACACTGAAGTTTTCTCAGGGGAACAGTCGAAGGGGGTGGAGCCACAGAAAAGGGCCATAACGTAGATAGGTCTTAAAAATATTCATTGGCTCAATGAGTTTGCTGTACATTGCGGTGCTTTAATTTTAACAAAATCTGACAACAGCCAATAAGCCAACTTCACAACAAAGAGATAACGTATTTTTTTTTCTTTCATAATTGCCATTCCTTACAATAAATTTTGTTTTAGAAAATGTCACCATGCAGGTTGGCGGGGCCATTCCTTTAAAATCCCAGCAAAAGCATTAGAGAGTTCTGTGGCTAAGCAGTACTCCATCAGCAAATCAGAAAAATCATGCAAACAGGTTCAAACCCTAAAGGCACTCTAAATGAGGTGATGACTGCTCCAGATCTGACATCAACCTGACGTGAAGGAAAAGGTCACAGGCACCCTGGCTGGAAATCTGACTCCACCCCTTACTATCTATCTGCCTTTCTGACCTTGAGTTTCCTCATTTGTAAAACAGAGATGATAATAACATACTACCTACCTCCCAGGGCTGCTGTGAGGATTAAATATAGAAACATAGGTAGAGTGTCTCCTAAACAGTAGACGCTCAGTTACACACTAGTTAAAAGTTTACAATTGTCCCTGGCCCGGTGCTCAGTAGTCCCTATATGCCAAGGCTGTGGGTTTGATCTCGGTCAGGGCACATACAAGAATCAACCAATGAATGCATAAATAAATGGAACATATCAATGTTTCTCTTTCCCTCTCCTTTCTTCTCTCCCTCTCAAGTCAATTTTTTAAAAAGTTTATATTTATAAATTAATTAGAACAATGTTTACTAAATAAAAATGAAGTTGCCCTTTCCTTCCTTTCCCTCTGAGACAGTCCTGGGATTGTCGCAGTCCCATAATTACTACCAATTCTTTGGGACTATACTGCCAAGCAACACAGTTATATGACATCTTTGTGGTCTTATTCTATGTATGCACAAAAATGTACACAGACTAGATAGAATTCAACATGGGTTAACAAATTCTACTAGCAAAACTAAGGCATATCTAACAATGAAGGTAATTTAAATATTTGCAGTGCCTCTCGAGCTAAGGGATATGCCAAAAGCATCCCTAAATTTAGCGCTCTGCAAAATATTTTAACTGGAAAGAGAGACAGAGAAAGAGAGAGGTATCTGATAAACTGTTTTTGTTTTCTGCTTGCACTGTTTCTGGGATTTTCAAACTTATTTTAGGACCAGTTCTTGTACAGAAGCCCAATGTGTAAAATTAACAAAAACAAATAAAAGGCCAGAGCTGCTCTGGCAGAAGCAGAACTAAGTAACCAGGAGCTCCAGATGGGTCTCTGTGGAAGCCAGTGTTCCCTAAAACACAATTAATGTTCACTTGAAGTAGCTGATCAAAGAGAAAAAGAGTGTAACAATATCAGGTTTTCTGGACCTTACTTTTTTGAAGGATTTCCACACCATTATCTAAATTCTACTTCTACATTAAAAATCCATAAGGAATCATAACCTAGGAACTTGGGGAGACATACCTAGGAAAGCTTAGTAAAAACAATCTCTGTAATTGTCTTAAAACTCAGCATAACTGAAGGCACTTCTACTTAAACACCTTGCTGACCAGCTATTTCGAGCCAGAACTCGCCCGTGTGGTCAGCTACTTTTCCGATGTGACCGGTCAGTAAGGTGTTTAAAATTACTTAAATTAATGTAACTGCAGACATGAGTTATCTCGTAACCAGTCAGCAACGTTCGGACATGGAAACACGTGTATACCCGTGACGAGTCAGCAAGGTGTTAAGGCAGACAGTATTTATCTGACCTATATTAGTATAGTGGTTAAGAGCACACACTGAAGCCAGACTCCCACTCTTATCACTTACAGCAGTTACACCCCAGCCCTGTCAGTTTTCTCATCTGTAAAACAGGGATAATAATTATATCTACCTCATAGTATCTTTAGAAGGATGAAATAAAACACATTAAAAAGTAGGAAAGGTTACTGGTACACAGTAAATGCTAAGTGTTAGCTAATATTATAATTATACTCTATCTTTTAAAAAAACATTTATTACAAAAATGTTTCTCAAAAATGCAAAGATCAGGCAATAGAATGGGGAAGGCCTGGGGGGAGGGGATTAATGGGGGGGGACGACATCTATAATACTTTCAACAATAAAGATAAATTTAAAAAGTATTCACCTGGAAAAAAAGAAAAGAAAATGCAAACATCAGTACATGAAGTAAAAACACCTTTCCTCCTAGTCTCACATTCCTATGCCAAAAGAAACCACTTTTAAGACTTTCATATGTAAACATCCAGAGTTTTCATAAAAACAGGGAATCAGCCCGGCCTACATGGCTCAGCCATTGAGCATCGACCTAGGATCCAGGAGATCCCAGTTTGATTCAGGTCAGGGCACATGCCCAGTTGCAGCTAGATCCCTAGGCAGGGGCATGCAGGAGGCAGCCGATCAATGACTCTCTCTGAAATCAATAAAGACATATTAAAAAATATATATATGGAATCATATTGTGCTTATTTTTCTGTAATTAGCATTTCTTACCCAATAACTTGCAGATGTCTTTAAATGTCTATATATATTGCCTTACTTCATTCTTTTAAACAACCACTTTGCATCTCACCATAAAGATACACCACACTCATCCAAATGGCAGTGGTCATCCATTACCCAAAGTATTGTTTCCAATATTGTTATTAAAACAAAGGCTTCAATGGAGGGTAATTTGGCAATATGTATTAAGAGCCTTAAAAAAGTAGATTTCCTTTAATTCAGTAATTCTCTTCCAGAAATATCATCTATGGAAAAAACAGTACCATAGAGAAAGTTATGCACATAGATATTAAGAGGCTACATAGCTGCTTTATCCTTTAAAGAAAAAAGGGGGAAAAGCAAATTTAACTTTCTCAATAGATGAACTACACATTTTTTTCTCATCATGTAGTTCATTCCTGATTTATAGCTCAGAATTTCTTGGTGTTCTAACTCTAACAATCCTCACTAAGTCCCTTTTTACTTGGAAAGGAAACAAGGCAAGATACGAGGATTGTGCTGTCCAAGCAAAACAAAGTAGAAAACAATCTCAGAGTGAATTCTCTTCCTAGCAATCAAGCTTTGAAAGTAAAAACTGCAGGCTCTATTATAGTAAAAGCCTACTTACAAACTGGAAACTATTCTCTTATGCCACATTATACATATACACATTGCTTTAGGTATTTTCTATTTTAGGTTCTTGAGAATTGCTAAGAGATTCAGAGAAGCATGCTTCTACATTCTCTAATATAGTACGTTGTAAAGGCCGGTCCAGTTATTGTGATTACATTCATGACTGTATGCTGTGTATACTCTTTATAATTTTACAATACCAGTTCAATCCTCATGAAAGAGGGAAGTGGGAGAGGGGAAAGAAGGAAGAAGAGTACTATTTCTAAATTTCCCCCCAAGTTTTCAAGGCTCCCTGTGCCACTCTGACCCTAAATGGGTGACACATTTCATTATGTCTTAGCTTCTTTCCTTAACGCCTTTATTTTATTACAAGTACCTGAATCCACACCACGAATAGTTACTGACATTCTTATGAAACAAAAAGTCAGTAACTAGTGTATAAGTATGGACTTACCCACTAGTTAGTTATGTATTCAAAACAGTATTATGAGACAGAGAAATATCACATATCATAGGCTTAAAAGCTTTCTTGCAATACTGAGGAAGCAAGATCATCATGATTAAAAATATTTAAAAAGAAAAAAAAGAGGCTGTACTTTCTACATTAAAGAATAACAAGAATTATACTGCTATCTCAATTTTCCTTTTATTACCTATTGATTTTTATGACATAAACGTCCTATACAAATATGCTTAAGTAACTTAATAGTTCTCTTAAGAGTAAAACTAACAACTGGAAACTGGAAAATATCCTTTTAACTTTGAAAGCATTTCAGATATTTGTCCACTAATTTGTAATGAAAGTGAAGAGTCTCCCTATAATGGTAAACTAAAAAATATATGTATCAGAGAAAGGTTTCATTATTTCAAAAATTTGCTATTAAAATTCTGCTTTAACCCCATGAACTAAAGATAAAATCCCAAACCAGAGATTATCTGTACCATGAGTTCATCTCCTGTTTTTCATAGTTGTGCAACTTGACCCAACAAAGAACTTCAACTGATCAGCGATTAGGATAGTACATATTAGACGCCTAAGTTGCTTTGCCCAGTGCCCAAAAATCACTTGAAGGAATCAATAAGGCTTCTTGTTTTGCTCAGTTCAGTGTTGTATTAAAGAGCTAAAAACAGAGTAAAAGGTAAAAGGGGAGTAATTAAATATGGCACTATCTAAAAGCTTTTCAGTAAGTTAAAAGCTCAACCTACCCCAAATAAAATACTTTCTATCTAGCAGATTTCCCAAAGCAACACTGATATCACACACAAGCTGAGTGTCAATTTCTTAAGAGCTAACATAAACATAGCAGCAACTGCTTGTCCAGCATCATTAAATACCTCACAGGTCTGTCAAATGCGGAGATAAATAATCACATATAGCTCAACCCCATTTTTTTTGTTAAATTGTCAAAGGAAAATTACAATTCCTTTGCTTTCTGTGAAATCATGTACACATACAAACCAAATAGCTAACTTAAAGGTATCATAGGAAAACACTGAGTACAATTAAGAAACAGATACTAAAAAAGAGACAGATGGTCAGGTCACCTCTGTACATTACATTAGGTGGAATAACATACTAAGTAAGAGACTAAGAAGCACACAATTCTGGGCCACTGAAAAGTATCCTGATAGGAGCACTAGAAGGGATTAAAGTAAAAACCTCAGCTCCAGGTCCTAGCTAGGTGTGAACTTGGACAACAAACTTTACTCTCTAACCTACTGCTTTACTGGTAAATAACAGATGAGTTATCTCCAAAGTTTCTTCCCAACACTTTGTAGAGTATATGATTGTTACCCATTATGCTGTACACCTGCAACTAATCAAAATTAATATTAAATGTAAACTGTAAGTGAAAATTAAAATTTTAAAATAATAATAAATAAAACCTCTCCC